CCCCATTACCCAATTTGGCATCATTCAACCAGTAAAAGAGAAACAATAGATTATACATAAGCAAAGAAAGATGGAACGCTAAATTAGCACAAAAAGATTTTAAATCATGTACAAACATAACAACTTGATGGCTTGATTGGCATAGTGGTGCAGTTTTGGATTCCATGCAATTTTTTTATTGTATATTTTAAATATAATTAATTACATATCTTTAATAAAACAAACATGACTTAGCTATTTAATCATTTCCTTGAATGTGAATGCCTTCATCCATCAAATCTTCATGATAGTCATGATTATTCTTCAATACATTTTATATCATCATTGACATAACAAACAATTGCATCACCCAGGTAGTGATAACACCAAGGCCATGCATAAATGAAACTTTTAATAATGCGTGTCTACCCAGATCTCTGGGGTTCACAAGAATAAATAAATAGGGAGGTTCAAAAATAATTTTTTCCTTCACCATTCTAAAGTTCCTTAAAAAACCATGAATAATAAATCTGATGTTGATTGCAGGTGTCAGATTTAATTAAAAAATTTCCTATCACAAACAAATGGTCAGGTGCTTTCACACTCTTCATAACTGTAGAATTTATTTATTCCACAGGTGAAGGTACCCATAGCTGGAAGGCTTTGGACAAAACATTCCCTTATCTTCCCCTCAGACCAGGCTTGGTTGTTACCATAAGACTCCCTCTGGAGTAAAGTTGGTGTCTTTGGTGTCTGCAATTTAGAAGGTTACAACATAAGTTGCTGTTTTGGATTTTCCCTGAATTCAGAGTTGAGTCCTGGGTTGTGTCTTGTTGGTGGTACATCTGCTCACCAACAACCTACCCCCATTTAAAAAACAAATTCAATTGGTCAAATAAAAATTAAAGAAACAGAGTATTTGGGAAAATGATTAATTTATATAATATACCAAACAAAATCCAAACCATTTTATAACTTTTTTCTTGTTGGTCACATTGCTAGCAAAGATGTATATAATCATACAATAATTTTAACCTACAGGACAGAGGACTGATTGGGCAAAAACCCCTACCCAAAATTATAAATTTGTTAGTTAATATTAGAGAAACAGAGCGTTTAGGAAAGTGATTATACAAAACAAACACTATTTTACAACTTCCCCCTTAACATCAGAGTCCAAATGCAATTTCAGGGGCACACAACCCTGCTCTGAACTGCGACCTCCTGTGCTTGAAACATAGTTGCAGGTTCTTGTTGCTTTGATAGATCTGGATATTTACATGGCACTACAATTCATCAGCAGAGTTGCAACTTGGTCACAGTGCCATCCTTGCCCTAGAGGTAGGATTGTTGCAGGCAACTTCGGCCAGCGTGCCAGCAGCCTTCTCTGGTCTGGGTGCTGTGAGGGAAGATTAGTGAAAGTGTCATTGACGTTGGTGCAGTCTTGGTAAATTCCAGGACCATGCCACCCCCATCTGGAATTTGGTAGCATCGTTGTATCCTTGGGCGTCGCAGGTCGGATTAGCCTTGTGCACATGAGGAATGTGTGAGAATGACTGTAAAGTGTTCAAGGTAGCGTGCATGCTTCAACACTTGTAAATTTTCCTGTAATCAAACGTTCATATCAAATGTTTCATATTTGAATTGTGACTTTTTCAATGGTTTGCTGCCTTGACATCTTCTTGTAATTATATAATAATATATTAATATTATTAATATTATTGATTACGCAAAGTAAAACATTATCAATGAAAATCTTGTAATTACCCAACAATGATCTGCTCCGCGTTTTGATTTCAAATTAAAATATTATATACTAAAAAAGATACCATATTATATCAATACAAATAAAAAAAAGTACCTCTGGTTAGTTATTAACATGTTTTCTTTAGGAGGCCAAACCAAACCATAAACCAAACAACACTCACGTTTTGTCATCTTTGAAAAGTAAATTGTTTTTTAAAAAAAAAATCAATTCGCGTCTGTCCTACCAAAAAAATAACCAATAGTAATAGGATAAATAATTAATGTACACGTTTGTCAAACTTCTTTTTTTTCTTTTCAAAAAAAAATATGTCTAGAACGGAAAAACAAAAAAACAAGTGAAGACAACAAATCAATGCTGATGAGGCTGTTGCTAAGTAAGTGTTTTAAGAATGGTGGTGGTGGTTATCGCCCGCCACTTGTTGTCACTCTAGTTTCTATATAAGATTGGCCTAGTCAGTTGTTTAACTTTGATTTTTTCAATGCACTATTTGCATTTACTTAGTGACAAACGAATTACCTCCTTCTTCTCTTCATCATTGTCATCAAATTCGAGATTAGAGGAAATATTACACAAGAAATTTCATCTTGAAAAATTTCACAAAGATCAATTAAAGGTGATTGAAGAAACGTTAAACGGTGAGGATGTTTTGGTATTAATGCCAACAGGCAGTGGTAAGAGCCTCTGTTACCAGCTGCCTGCAATCGTGGAAAATGGAAAAACAAAAGGGATAACAGTGGTGATATCACCCCTGCTATCACTTATCATAGATCAGATACATAATTTAAATAGCAGATATAATATTCCAGCTTTATCTTTATATAATGAACAAGAAGATAATGAAAAACAAAATGTATATGCTGAACTTAATAAACTAAAACCAAGTCACAAGCTTTTCTACTTAACTCCTGAGATGTTAAATAGAAATAGAAAAATCATTTCAATAATAAGAGGCCTGTATGAAAAGAAACAATTGGCAAGATTTGCCATTGATGAGGCTCATTGTATTAGCAAATGGGGACATGACTTCCGACCAGATTACAAAGAATTATGCAACTTGAAAAAAAATTACCCAGAAATACCTATAATTGCTTTAACTGCAACCGCAACACCTAAAGTCAAAAATGAAATAATTAATATCTTGGGTATTCAAAGATGTAAGGTCATACAACAAGGATTCAATAGAAAAAATTTATACTATGAAGTACATGAGAAAGACAGTAGTGGTGATAAGGCATTGGAATATCTTGTTAAACTTGTTGAGAGTTATAAGGGTAAATCAGGTATTATTTATTGCATTACCAAAAAAGATTGTGAGAAAGTTGTACAATATCTCCAAAAATCAGAAATTTCTGCAAAATATTATCATTCAGGTGTAGAAAAAGCAGAAAAAATCATTATTCAAAATGAATGGCAATTTGGAAGGCTGCAAATTATTGCTGGGACTACTGCCTTTGGAATGGGTAAAATTATATATGGATTTTTTAAAATTTTATGACACACACACATATAAATTAATATTGTAAGAATTAATTTTTATTAATATTAATATTAATTTTTTTTGCATATAAAAGGGATTGATAAGCCTGACGTGCGATTCGTAATACATTATTCATTGCCCCGATCTCTAGAGGAATATTATCAGGAGACGGGAAGAGCTGGTAGGGATGGAGACCATGCTGTATGTGTTCTTTTATATGCAGTTAATGACTACAAGTTAGTAAAAGCAATGATAGAAGCAGAAGATGGTATTCAAAAAGAACAAAAAAGAACAGGTCTCCTTTCAATGAGAAATTATTGCGAAAATACTATAGATTGCCGCAGGAAACAGTTTCTGGAATATTTTGGAGAAATTTTTGATACATCAGAATGTGAAGAGACATGTGACAATTGCTCAGCAAGGAAACATAAGATCCATATTAATATGGAGAATAAGGATAGTTCATCATCAAATACAATCAAGATTGTTGATAAAAAAGAAGAGCAAGAACCAGATAATAATGAAACTGAAACTTTGATAAAAGCAGAAAATAAATCAAATCACGAAATAAACATCTCTGATAATTCCATATCAAGTTCCAAAACATTAGATGATAATAATACATTGAAGAAACGTAAGGAAATTATAGATGATGATAGTGAAGACAAGTCTAAAAGACTTGCTAAAAAGTCTAAGAAAGAAAGTGATGATGGAAATGTTGACACTGATGTTTTTTAATATAACAAGATAAAATTGAAAAACTCAAAAATTATGTAACTATGGAATCAATAGACATTATAATAATATATTTATTTGCTGTTTTCTAGCTTTTAAGATTATGCTTTCTTATCCTAAGGTTAAATACTATTAATCAATCATTAATAATCATCATTGCCTTTTATTATTATGATTTTTAGAAAAATTATTTTTCATTAAATGTTCTTGGAATATCTATACTCATTGATTGAACTGATGATTATATTATCATTTAATAAAACTTTTTAACTATACTTCTAATGGTGCTGTAATTTTTGGGTTCCATGGTAGATCCAATGTAAATTAACTTCATATTAACTGTTTTTATATAGAGGTAATTCTATATATCACCTAATATTAAGAGGATAACAAATGGAAGATTTTATTAATCACATTACTAAAATTTGACCCCTGAAATCTTTGGTAATACCAATGTTCACTTTGTCTGGTTTTGTTGCAGCATGCCCCAATTAACATATTAATATATAGAAAGTTGCATTTAAATACAACCAAGTATTCTGAACTTCACATAAACTTCATCCATTTACTAGAAATCTAATTGCACTTGAGAAAGTTTTAGGGGAGGCTTGATTTTCAATGTTCCATAAATCAAGCAAGAGGGTTAAAAATTGATATATAATCATTAAATTCGTGATATCAAAATTTGAAAGTAATGAAAGACAGCCAATCAAGTCTAGTTATAGTGATACAATAGAGGTGGAGAATATGGTTCATTGACCTTATGGTATGAAAATATAATAAAGTAGAATAATTTATTTCAACATATTTTATCATCAAAGAATTCAATGACTATACAGATAATTTTATATGTGAATGGGTGGTTTGCATGGAAATTTTGATGATTGATTCAGACAGTTATTGGAATCAAAAAACAAATATATTACCAACACTAAATTCAATTGCATTAAAATATATTTGGTTGTCTGTATCTGAGAAAGGTCCTTTTCAAATTATAAAAGTATTTTAGATGATAAATGCATGGCTTTAAAAGAAGATTCAATTAAAAATTAAATTTTATATATTTTGATTTTCCTGGATAACCGATATAATAAAATTTTATCTTTAATGTATAATTTTGGCTCAAAAATTATGATCGCATAATTTGGAAAAAACCATAATCTTTTCCAACATCGCGAAATATAATAAAATGCGTAACCAATTTATTGTATAACGAAAAGTTTTTATAATAATGGTATCGATTGTTGGTTTTCAAATTTATGTAATAAGATAATCCAAAAGAACAAACTTATCAACAAAGTTAATACTAATCGTACCATTAAGTTATTTTATTAGAGCTGCTGATAGTGGTGATGTATAGTTTAGGAGATATTTATTTGAATGGTAACGAAAAATAAGAGAGAACTTCGTTTAATAAATAGTTTTGTATTATTTACAATATTGTAGTAAACTTATGTTATTGATCTTAGCATAAAAATAGACTGGTTTAAAATAATGCCAAAAATCGGCTTGTAATTAAATCTTTTCAATTTGTGATTTTACCATAAAAAAAACCCCCTTCAAGATTTTTTTAAAATGCTATACGCGCAATTTCGTGGTTTGCAATTCATTTTTAGGACATGTAGAGGTGCTCTATAAAAAATAACATACAAAGTTTCAGTATTAGCATGTTAAATATGTTCTAAAAAAATAATCACGGAATGAAATTTTTCCTTTTTTTTTAAATTTAACACAAGGTGTAGAATAGGTGTGGGATGCGTAATTATAATAGTAGCATGCTAACGTTATTATGAACAGTATGAAACATACGGAATTCAAAAGAGTAAACCATATTAATGTGTTAGTGTATAAAATGTACGGAATAGGTACTGGAAAACGCACTTTACCGTATTAGTACCTTTTCAGTATTAAAAACACAAAGGCATGAGACACATAAAATGCACACGGGATTTACAGAGAAATATAAATCCCGATGTGCTTCGTGTCGTGTGTTCATACTTAATACATCATGTAATAGCAGTGCATACAAACAACGTACGGAAATACGAATTCTGTATTAGTATTAGTATGGTTTCCGTACTATTACTAGTACGTATTCCATAAATTCCGTGTCTGTTTCATATTAATGTGTATTCTGTATGTATCCTGCCTGTACTTATACCGTCCGTACCTTTTGCGTCTTTCATTGGAAGATTCCATATGGTAATCCAAGAAAACATACTACAGTCAAACCTCGTTATAACGGACCTCGTTATAACGGATTTTTGTTATACCGGACAAAACTTTATTTCTATTTTT